TGCCTCCCCAGGGAGTTCACATCCGTGTGTGTGTGTGTGTGTGTGTGTGTGTGTGTGTGTGTATGTATCAGCCCTGTCTTATCAGCTTACCATGACCTGTCAGGGTTCTTGGCCCTTCGAGGTTCTTGCGATACTCCACGGACTCATGACAGAACTCACTACATCAGAACTAACCCATCCCGGAGAAGAAGTAGATGAGAATACAGCAGCTGACAAGTCAACCACCAAAGAGGAAAAACCAAATTAAACACTCCTTAAGAAGCCAAGTCGTCTTTCTTCCTCAAAAGCTACGTGGGAAGGAAGGCCCGGGGCAGGAGAAGAGCTCTGGGTCCCTTTGCGCTGTTCTATATTAACACAGTCACACTTTGCGCAGCACTTGTCACCTCCAATCAACATGAGGGCTTTCCGGGGCCTGGACATTCATTGAAGGGATTGTTACTGTTGGTGAATGGGGAATTAATTAATGCAAAGCCAACCAGTTCATAAATGTCTGCTTTGTGAGTGGTCCCCACATCCTGGGGACTGTGACTCCTGTGGTCAGCGCAGCCCCAGGACTTCGTGTCACCAAATGATATTTATGATCACCATCAGCCCCTTCCTCAAACCGCCAGGGGGAAGCGAGGCCTCACCTGGAGCCCTGTCTTTTCCGGCTTTGGGCATAGCCAAGGGTCCTCCAGTTTCTCTGGGGCGAAGCAGGCAGTGCAGAAAAACTCCCTGCAGTCTTCTGAACTCTCCCCCACAATCTGACTTCATGAAGAAAGGCTTCATTTGCAAGACACAGTGATGGGAACAGGCTTGCAAACAGAGAAGCTTTTCTCAACCCACCCCATTCCAAATTTGGTTACTTGACCTCTGGGCAAGTACAAGAACGCGCGCACACACAAACCACACAGACGTGCGCAGGTGCACACGGGCACACTCACACACTCAAACAATGCCACATATATGCACGGAATTTCTCAGATCTGCGTTACAGTCAGCTAATTTAAAAACCAGTTCTGATTTGAATGTGGCAAATGGACTCTTCAGGTAACCTAGTTACTAAGAATATAAGATAGAAAAAGTGGTAACTGAGCAGGCCAAGCCCTCTCCATCACATAAACATATATATCTCATTGAAGGTACACATGTAGTTTTATTCTCTCTCCAAAAAAAAACCAACTTGGTCCCAGGTTCTGCTGACATTAGAAAGTCCAGGCCCTGCTTCTGTTTTTGCTGTGGTGGCTTTGCTACCTCCTCGGTTTAAACTGCTAGAAGGCAGTCCTAAAAACTCCCTTTTGCCTTTAAAACACGATGCACTGTGATATTAAAGATGGCGGACTTGAGGATAGGGTTTTTTTTTCTTTATGTTTTGCTGTGATATCTAAATGTGCTACGATTAAGGTGTATTTTATAGCCACCAAAAAATGCATGATGTAAAAGGAGAAAAGAATGTTAGTTTCATAAAAATCCCTCAAGAGCCTGACTTTGGCAGCTTTATCTGATTTTTGAGGAAGTAGTGCTCTGGTCTTGAAAATTAGCCTGGATCATAAAGCAAGGAGACTGTGACATTTTCTGAAATTGGATCCCATACTGCTGGTTTCTGTCTGAACTTAGGAAGAAGAAGTTTATCCTTGGAAAATTCATTCTCTCCTTGCCATGTCCTTAACCCTTTTCCTATAACCTTGCCATCACCCTTAGAGTTCCCATCACTTTTCCTGTTTTACATTTTTCCTTATCATTACTTAAAACATAACCTGAGGATAGGGTATAGTCATCAGTCATCTACACCTTAGTATAAATTAAATTAATCAACATTTCTTTAATCCCAATGTTATAAGATTCTATTTGTATTTTAATTCAAAATTCAATTGTATAATAAAACGCACCAGCTAATGAATAAAAGAACTGGTCTCTGTCATCTCTAAATCAGTCATCTAGGCTACTGGCTTCTTTGTTTTGGGAAAGGCAGTTCCTGGAACAAATCACATGGTACTGTGATAAATTTTTCCACATTAGCTATAGAATATCACCATTTAGTAGTACCTCTATCCCTTTAGAAAGAATGCACTCTCCAGAGACACAGTTAAATGTAAGAATAGTTGCAAATAATGTGCAGTCTACGAAAATATTCATAACCCCCAGGCTTTTGGAAAACAGTATTCCTTATTTCTACTTGGGAAATTGTATTTGCTACACATATACATTGAGTATATATGTTGAGTGCCTGATAAATCAAAATGTATGATTTTGAGTATTAGATTTTAGAAACAGAAGAGAAAAGTATATTCCAGAGAAGTTAAATAACTTGCTGCAGGTCATTCACTGGTCAATAAACTAGGGCTTGAACCGAAAACAAAAGTTTCTGATTCCTAGCCTGGGCTCTTTTTGTTTCAATATCTTATCTCCCAAGACACCTAATTCAAGTCCTGGAAAGATCTGATTACCTCAAGCCTCAGAATGATCCTCCAAAGTTTTCTCTCTTAATCTTTGGGAATTCCTGGCAAGTAGGCTGAGAAATGAGGCTGAATCAGCAAACACCGTGTTCCTGACCCTCCTGAGCCTTCTCTGTTTATTAGACCATGCTCTGCAGATAAAAGGGCAAAGGAAGACAGAAAAACTTAGGAAGAAACAATCACTTATCATTGTTGCCTTTTCCCTCCTTCTGATCCATATCACAATCAGTGGTCAATCTCTGTCACCCACATGCTGTCCAGGACCTAGAGGGAGGCAGGACTTCCAAGGAGCTTCCTCAGGAACCCCTTAGGCAGAGTCTCACAGCTCAAAGTTCACTTCCCCAACCAGAGGAGTGAAGCAGTGGTGATCTTCTCTTATCCAGAGGTGGACGGCAACAGTTAGTTGACTCTATACCCATGGTTAGTCCTGGGGTCACCTTCTAGGTGTTCAGGCCCCAACTAGACAGCATCTAGGCTCCCTAGTCCCTGTATACCCTGTATATTTTCCAGCATGAACCTTCCTGCTGTCACCTGAATCTAAAAGGAGATCTTGACCATGACTAGCCAATGTGTACCCATAAAGAACCTCAGTATCTGTCATTTATAGATTTGCTCATTCAGCTAAAGTATGACAAGTGGTTCCCATACACAAGGCACTGGGCCAGGCTCCCACTGCATAAAGAAGCCAAACACATAGATCCTACCCTTACAAGCTGCTGGGAAATCAGAAAGACAGGGACGAATGACAGACAGCCAAATTAATTTATACTGATAGACAAACTCCTCTTTATTCTTTATGACTTGGACCAAATATCATCCCCTTTAAAAAGTTTCCTGACCATCTGCAGGCAGTTACATAGTGATCTTTCTGTGCCCTGATGAGATTTGGTTTGTTCTTCGACTATAGCATTTCTCATGTTGTTAAAATTACTTCTATGTACATGTGCTTCATTTTTTAAATCATATGAAAAACGGAGAGGGTGGAGGGAAGAAAGACAGAAGCTATTATTCAACATCTCCAGACAACCAGAGTATCTGGGACTTTTAAGATGAATGAATGAATGAATGAATGAATGACTTTTCAAGCTCTTTTGTCCTATACATAGATTTCCTTGACCCAAATATGTATCCACCAGTCCAAACAAGAGGTAAATATCCTTGTGGCTTCTGAATATGTGAACTGTGGTTATTTCCTGCTCATTACCCAAACTCAGAGAATTTGGAGCAATGAAAGCCTCATTTCACTCAGCCAAAAGCACTAGTTTCTTGTCTTCACTTTCATTTTTCTAGGAGTGTAATGAAAGTGTGTGTGCAGGTGGGTGTGCATTTGTCCTGCACATAATTCGGCAGTGTCTTCAGTAACAGGTGCCCCTCCAAAGGGCTCAGCAGTGAGGGGAAGTGTGGAGGGTATGGAGGGGGAAGCCAGGGAGATAGGGAGAAGAAGCCTGCCAAAACCAATCACCAAATCAAATCTGAACGCACACTCAGCCACAGGAGGAGAAATCGGACCAACACCCCAGTGTCAGGGTGGTTGCAGCGTCTGTTAAATGGCTTGTTAATGTGATAGTTGAGACTTTGACACAGAAATTACACGGGCTACAGTCACAGCACGGCAGGCCTGGCTCCAAATCAGCTCCTACCATGCAGTGTCACACTGCAGGCCAGGGGACAGGGATTTTCAATGCTACCTGGCCTGGCCTTCTGCCATCCTTTTGAGCTTTCTCTGTTTTGTAGTCTATTTCTTTTAAGAGAGGGCCAGTCATCTCCATTATCATGTGCATAGTATCATAATTTTTGTTTATTCTTACAAGTGGAATAAAGTCATTTTACCCCAGAAACAAGAACAGTTTAAAAACAGTTTGTTACTGTCAACTATTTTGATGAAGTCAGTCAACAAGTCATGAATAAAAAGGTCAGATGGCACCCCTGTTCAAGGAAAGAAGGCAGACAGCATTAAAGAGCAAAACACAAGGGCCCCGAATAGATTCAAGATGGTCCCTTATCTTTGGCTTTCTATGTAGCCCAAAGCATAGGTGATGGAAATCCATGTTCAACAACTCACCAACACTTATTGACCACCAATGTAGCCAAAGACTGTCTAGCTGATTCAGGGCACCAAGAGGGAAGAGTTGATACGAACGTCACCCACAAGTCACTTCTCACTTAAAGAATAAGATCATGCCTGTAAATCCCAGCACTTTGGAAGGTCGAGGTTGGTAGATCACCGGAGGTCAGGGGTTTGAGACTAGCCTGGCCAACAAGGAGAAACCCCATCTCCATTAAAACTACAAAAATTCCTGCTGGGCATGGTGGCAGGTGCCTGTAATCCCAGCTACTCAGGAGGCTGAGGCACAAGATTTGCTTGAACTCAGGAGGAGGAGGCTATAGTGAGCCAAGATCACGCCACTGCACTGCAGCCTGGGTGACAGAGCAAGACTCTATCTCAAAAGAAAAAAAAAAAAAGATAGGTAGAGTTAAACAAATTAAATGTCATCATCATACAGATAACTGGCAGAAATGAGACGTGGTGTCTTACTTAGCAAAAATGCTTAAAATCCTTTTACAGTGCTCGCTTTGGCAGCATATGTACTAAAATTGGACTAAGACAGAGATTAGCATGGGGCCCGCACATGGATGACATGCAAATTCATGAAGCATTCTATGTTTTTTTAAAAAACATCCTTTTAAATTCCTCACCCATTCATTTATTTAAAATTCATTCATTGAATGCTCTCATCGTGTCACGTTATGATGATGCAGTCCTTTTCCTAAGAATATACTTTGTAGGAAAAAAAAAAGAATATACTTTGTAGGACTATATTAATTATATTTTTGGCAAAAGGAGAAATCAACCCTTATCCATTTATTCATTAAACCTTCATTCATTGACTTCCCACCTCAAGCCATGCTATAATCATGTAGTCTTTTCTTACGAATATACTTTTTCTATATATCATATTGTATTTTGTTTTATTTTGTTGTGCTTTTGGTGGCAGGGGTGGGGATGGTGTATATCAGAGAACTTTTCATGTTGGTTTGAGTGACTTAGCAAGAAGACACTTCCACAGGCTGAATCCATTTCATCCAATAGCCAAGCAGCGATTGTAGACTCTTAGGGTTAGTGTGACCTTGGAAGTGATCTCGCCAAGCTCCTTGCAGGCAAGACAAAGAAGCTGCATTACTCCTGCAAAGTCATGCAGCTGCTACATCAAAGGGCTGGAGCAATAGCCCAGGTCTCCTAGCAGTTTCTCCAGCATATGTTCCGCTCCCCTGCACTGCTGGGAATTCCAGTGTCTTGCATTTATCTTATAACAAAACCCACACTTTTCTCTCTCCAACTTGGCCCTGGTGTCGAGGACGTCTCTGACATCCCTTCTGTGTGCCACTCTCATCTCTGAAGGAGGACACTTTGCTCCTCACAGTGCTGTCAGCTCCCCCACCCCATCTGTGTGTGTGAGGCCTAAGTCCCTGTGAGACAGAGGGCCTCAGGCTGGAGCAGCACAGGACAGCCAGGAGCAGACGAGCCAAACTGGCTTATTTTCATTGCTTACTTGGGAGTAAAATCCTTCCATGCCTGGATCCTTTTCTTTTAGCCCCTGCTACTGGCAACACGGTTTCTCAAAGGCCTGGCTTGAGAAATGGCCATCCTCCCTCACCCCACACCTCATTCTTCTATAAGGTACTTCTCTCTCCCCATTGGCAAAGGCTTCAAGTATTTTTCTGGTCAACTCAAGTGCATACTGCAGTGCATACTCCAGATCTAAATCATGCATGCAGTCTGGTAAATTATAAGCTCCTGCTACTCCATTTCTTCAGCCTAGGTTGAAACTTCTTTCAGCTCTTCAAGGCCCCTGGAACTCAAGATCCACCGCTTCTGGCCTCTTTTAACAATACAGTCCATGTTACCTGTGCTCTGCCAACCAGAGTCCTTCAACTAGCTTTTTTCTTGGTCTCTTCTTTTCAATGCCATGAGCCACACTCTGTATGTTAATTTAAATGGCTATTCTCAAGGGCAAGTCACCCCTGTACTAGTTTCCTGTGGCTGTTATAATAAACTACCACAAATTTGGGGGCTTACAAACAATGGAAATGTCAGAAATGTGCTATTGCACAGTTCTGGAGGTCCAAAGTCTGAAATCAAGGTGTTGGCAGGACCATGGTCCCTTGGAAGACCCGAGGGAAGAGTTCTTCCCTGCATCTTCAAGCTTCTGGTGGTCCCAGGTGTTCCTTGGCTTGTGGCTGCACCATTCCAATGCTTCCATCTTCACGTGGTCCTCTCCTCTTCTTTCTGTGTGTTCTCCTCTTCCGTCTCTTTAAGGACAGTTGTCATTGGATTCAGAGCCCATCCAGATAATCTAGAGTAAACTCATCTTGAGATCCTTAACTTAGTGACAGCTACAAAGACCCACTTCTCAAATAAGGATTTGATTCTGGGGGTAAAGATCTGGACTCGTCTTTTACGGGTAGCCACCATTCAGTTCACTGCCCTCTCTTCTAGTAATGCTGTTCACCCCTTAGCAGAAGTTGAGTTATTGTACTTTGGACACTGGCCGCTGGATATTAGGTTGGCATTGGAGGTACAAGATGAATGAGGCATGATTCCCACCTAAAGAAGTTCTTAATCAGGTAAATCAGACAGAAGTGCAAATAGGTTACTATACTGAAACACAACAGATGCTATCTTTGAATAGGAAAAGTCCCATCACTCAAGAATTCTATGCCCCATTTCCCTGAGAATTCTCATATTCCAAGCAGTGTCACCTTCTTTTTTGTTCATATGTCACTGAATCTGCTTAACCAGAAAAACGAATACTGGTGGGGAAAGGGGGTTCGGAAGGGGGACAAGGGAGATTTATTCCCTGGAGAAGTTTCTCTAGGCCACATATGTCTGTCTGAATAATAAGAGTAGGCATTTGGCAAAAACATGGCACTGGGGATGTAATGCTTCTGAGGCCTGAGCAGAGAGCATCTCAGAGTCAGAAACGGCTCACACGTGGACAGAAGTGATGGTTCCCTGAAAAGGCCTCCATGGATCTGTGCACAAAGCAACAACTTGGATGGATGTCAAGAAGCAGCCTCACTCCTTCACTGTGGAGTTGTTTAAGCATTTTAATACTTGACTCATGTGGGACTGTATCTGAGCCCCCATATGAAACCCTGCACATTTGGAGCTCCAGATAGGAGATAGCTTGACTTAAAGACAGGGAAACAAGGCCAGAGCTTCATTTCAAGACTGGTAATCCTAAGACCCCTTCCCAAATGTTTTATGTAGTGAAGAGATTGGAGTTGTGTAGGACACCATTCAGGATGCTAAGGATGCTGGGTGAAGAAAAATCTAACAATACTTTGTGTAGGGATTCTATAAGATTCCTATCTCACAACAGAGATTCCTTTCTGAAGCTAAAGTCTTCCACAATCTAGGGGGCAAACAGCGGATAATGTTCAGCCTTGAAAGCTGGTACATACAGGCATCAGGGAGAAAGCTGGTGCATGCTGGCATCGGGGAGAAAGCTGGTGCACGCCAGCATCATGAAGAACGCTGGTGCACGCCAGCATCACAGAGAAAGCTGGTGCATACAGGAATCGGGGAGAAAGCTGGTGCGGGCCGGCATCGGAGAGAAAGCTTGTGCATTCTGGCATCGGGGAGAAAGCTGGCGCGGGCTGGTATCGGGGGGAAAGCTGGTGCACGCCGGCATCGGGGAGAAAGCTGGTGCACGCCGGCATCTGGGAGAAAGCTCGTGCGGGCCGGCATCGAGGAGAAAGCTGGTGCGGGCCGGCATCGGGGAGAAAGCTGGTGCACGCCGGCATCGGGGAGAAAGCTGGTGCACGCTGCATCGGGGAGAAAGCTTGTGCACGCCGGCATCGGGGAGATAGCTGATGCATACAGGCATTGGGAAGAAAGCTGGTGCAGGCCGGCATTGGGGAGAAAGCTGGTGCAGGCCGGCATCAGGGAGCTGGGTAAGAAGACGATGTGCAAACTAGCTGGAATATTGCTATTCAAAAATAGAACTCAATGTGGTTTACTATAGTGAGTCCTACAATCTATTTTAAAAAAAAAATACATGGTATCTTGCAGTAAAATTAATTTTCTTATGATTATTTTCATAGTTGAGAGTCAATCAATAGGACATGGATGAATCATCTGAAATGAGCCCTTATCTTGTGTCCTGCTATTATCTTTGAAAAAAGAATTGCACCCTGGAAGAGAGTTTCAAAATAGTAAGAGCCCACCAAAGAAATTTCAAAGCACAGCTACAACATTGTCTAGAACGCCAGGCTTGGCGACTCTTCCCAGGAAAGAACTTTTTTTGCACGTGAGACACGTGAGAAAAATATGGTATTGCAATTCTAATCTCTGCTCTTCAAAATGGCTTCTGTTAAGTTCTGAATGTAATATTTTGACAAATAGGAACAATAATAATCAGAATTGTTACACTGTCCCAAGTACTATAAAGGATAATACCTCCAACTACCAGATGTCACCACTGAAAAATATTACGAAGTGAGTGTGGAGTTGACCTAGCCAACTGCTGGGTTCTCTCACCCTACGCTTTAGCCAGAAGAGGGCAATTTGTGCTGACCCTATGTAGTCCTTGAAGTTCAGGGTGACTCCAGTGAGACACAGCATTAGATTATACAAGTGAGTCCACCACACACTCACACACAAAAGGTTCTGATCCATTTATTCTTCCTAATTCTGTCTGTTAGAAAAATCAAGAAACCCTATCTTTCAAAAATTAGAGAGAAATGCATTGGTAAATTCCATCTACAGACCTCATTTAAGAAGTTGGTGATAGGATGCACTATGAAGCATATAGAGTCCCTTTTGTTCTTCCAGGATTGGTTTTCTCACAAAGCTTTAATAACAAACATTTCACGAGGGCCTACTATGTGCCAGGCATTATGCTAAGGATTAGAGAATGGGGAATACAGAATACTAAATAAATTAGAATATAATGTGATAATCGATATAACAGGAGAACATGCAAAGTATTGTCAGAGAGCAATCTAATAAGATAGTCCTTAAATATATGTGACAGAGAAAGAACATAGAAAGAAAGATTAGAATAAAAACACTCTAAGCTATTGACTGAAGGAGCCAGACCTCTTGGTCCAGACATTCTAAACGTCTGTGAAAAGTTTATTCCCTTTTGTTCCTGATTAGAGTGAGCTCTTTTTAGTTTCCCCAGCTTCTAAAGTCATCTCCTATCACCCAGCTCTTAAATGGCAAACTGTTTAAATTTAGCAGTCTTCATGTGCAAGAAAAGCCAATATAATCCAGATCTCCTATTTAAAATTCCTGGAAAGTCAAAGCCAAATCTCTCCCACCTCGCAGTCTGAACTGATCGCATTCTGTGTCCATACCCACATCAAATGATTGTTCAGAAGAATACCAATTAGAGCCCCTTGGAGGTTGCATGTCCATCCCCCCAACTGACAGGCAACTTCTTCAACAATACCCCTGGTGGATGATCTGCCCGCATCTATTGTCCCACTTGCGATGGAGTGCTCAGGGTTTTATGTGGCAGCCTGCTTCGTCGTTGGCCAGCTCCAGTGATTAAAATCTTCTTTTCTTTATGGCATCAAACCAAACTTTGTTTCCTGAGAACTCCCACCCATTGGCACTATAGCTCTTCTCTATAGCAGACTAAGAGAAACCACTGGAAGG